AGGGTCGAAGCTGCAGCAGATCGACGCGCTAGTAGGTCAAGCAGTTGGTTGACATTCGAAGAGTCAAACACGAGCATCGCACTACGTGCAGTGTGCATGCGAGGTGCAAGGCTTAGGGCGCTGGAGGAAGGGCTATGTGCAATGGACCGGGGCCGAGTGTACGATAGCAGGCTCGGGCGATGAGGTCAACTGGTGCAAGGTGTGCGCGAGGGAGCGACGCGCACGATGCTTAGAGGCTAAGGCCTCGGGCATTTACATTGCTGAGGAGACGAGTTGTGCGCGAGGGGTGGATGTTGGGTGGATAGCGCGCACATGGGGCGACCGCGAGCGGGCGAAGGCGCGAGCGGCGATGAGCGCGGCACAGCGCGCGAACGAGCACGGCGCAGTACACGTGGTGCTGGGCGACACGCGCGAGATAGCCACACGGGCGAAAGGTGCGATCGCGTGCGCACCCGAAGAGCGAGGCATGACCAAGACAGCAAGCCTAGTCCTCATAGGAATAGGCATTGCGCGAATCCTAGACCCCGCAGGACTAGGAAAAGCAGTTAAGTGCCATAACGCGCGTGAGGGATCGGTGACGGGAATAATCCTCGGAAGGTCAGGCAACATAGCCGGGAGCATATTCCTAGTAGGAATAGGCAAGGTGGATATGGGCCCGAAGCATGATCCTTCAAGGAATGGGAATGGTGCACGCATGGCGCGAGACCTTAATCCTCGAGGCAAGAGGATAGGCGAGCGTAGGAGACGCGACCTTAGTCCTCGAGGACTAAGGCAAGGAGGCATGAGGCAGAGTCCTAGGCGGCGCACAAAGAGAGAGAGAGAGAGAGGAAGTTAGGAGCCTACTACTTGGAGTACAAGTCAAGGCACAAGATCTTCTAGTTATGTAGTTTCCTTATTGCTTTATAATTTCTAGATTGTTTAGGATTCTTAATATTTTATTGCTTTATTAGTTCCCTAGGTAGAATAGACTTAGATATAGTTGGTGCCTATATAAAGGCCCCTTCCTCTTGTTAATTGAATCATTCAGAAATCAATACAAAAATCCGAAGTTTTGTTCCAACACTTTGCTCTAGTTTTCTTCTTGAATTCTTTTGCAATTTTATTCGTTAGAAAGGCTGCGAGTGTGCGACTTCCTAACACCTATCGAGCGATTTAAGGCGCGGGAGCGGCTTGTCGACAGTCGGGACACACGGTCTTCATCAGGTCGACAGGACGCGGACAGCGCTGAGCGCACGTAGGCACGCGGTAGGCGAATGGAGCGTTGGGGCGCTGAGCGGGACGCGCGGGCCAGTGGATAGGCGTGGGAATAGCGCGGGGTTATCGAGCGTGGGCAGCAGCCGTGCGGTTGACAAGGACGCGCGGGAGCAGGGTAACCAGATGGGCGGGCGCGCGATGGGGCGCGAGTGGTGCGCAGGCGTGCGAAGCCTAGGCCGTTTAGGAACAGGCGAAGAAGAGGCGGCGCATGGGCGAGCCGCGTGCGCAGTTGGCGACGCGTGCGGGATGGGCGAAGACCTAGGCCTAGTAGGCTTAGGCAAGACGGGCGACAAGCGCGAGGCACAAGTGAAAACCGAGGTGAGAAGCCTAATCCTCATAGGAATAGGCAAGACGCGAATCCTAGACCCCGCAGGAGTAGGAAAAGCAGCTGAGTGCCAGAATGCACGTGAAGGATCGGTGACAGGAGTAATCCTCGAAAGATCAGGAAACATAGCAAGGAGCATATTCCTAGTAGGAATAGGCAAAGTGAATGTGGACTCAAAGTCTGATCCTTCAAGGAATAGGAATAGCGTACACAAGGCGCGAGACCTTACTCGTTGAGGCAAGTGGATAGGCGGGCA